TTCCGTTTTTTCATTCCCTACCAAAAGCTGGGAACAAGCATCCTGAACCTCTAACCCTACGGCCCTACATGTCCCTGCAAGCCCCTAGACCCGACTTTGTTCTCTAGATGCTTTTCCATGAACAGAAATAGTAGAGGCGAGGTGAGAAAAAGCAAGCACACACACACACACAAAAAAGACACCAAACTCAGGACATGGCCCCTATATAATGTCAACGCAGCCTACCCTAACCTTTAACCCCCTAAACCCTAAACCCCTCAAAACTAAACCCTAAACCCGAAACTTTTAAACCTGAAACCATAAAACCTACGTAAACTCTAAAACCTAAAGTCTAAACCCTAAACCCCTAAACTGTAAAGCCTAAACTCGAAACCCTTAACCTCTAAGACCCTAAGCTCGAAGGTATCCTGAAGGCTCCCATTGCTTGGGGAGCGGAGGCTTTTGATTGGCCTCTTGGCGTTAGACGTGCCGGGGAGTATATTCAGGGTTTAGGGTTTAGGGGTTTAGAGTTCAAGGGTTCAGGGTTCTGGGTGTAGGGTTTCAGGGTTTAGGCTTTAGGGTTAGGGCTCTGGGTTCAGGATTTGGGGTTTAGGGTTGAGGTCTTGGCTTTGGGGGTTGAAAGTACCTTAAACCCTAAACCCTAAAACCGGAGCCCCGCACACTAAACCCTAGACCCTAGAATGTTAGTTCCTCGCCAGTCAAGATCTTTAGTAGTCGAAGATATTCCCAAGGGGTCCGTATAGCTGTATAGATACCCTGAGGCAACGAAAGTCTCTGTATAGAATCCGTGTGGGGTCCCACATATTTTAGGGCTTAGGGTCTAGGGTTTAGGATATTGTATACCTACATGGACCCTTTGGGATTAGTACTTCTGTCGTTGGTCGGTCGGGAGGTCCAGTTTTCCCAGAACTGACAGCAACCCAGCCCCCCGAAAGGATGGAGAAACCAATCCCCTATGTAGGTTAATGTGGGGATATAAACAAGTAAATGAATAAGTACATATATATATATATATGTACACATATATATATATACATTAGGTACATAGGAGCTAATGGGGGGGGGGGGCGTAAATAGGGGATCTGTTCATTCTCTATATCCTTCCAGGGGTTGGGGAACGTCTGTAAATATTTTCAAAAGAACAGATGACCTTGGAGTTCATGATGGCCCACGAAACAGTTCAACATAGAGATGTTGCTGCGAAGTGCCGGCTTCTTTTCAGCATGCCGTTGTGCTCGCCAGTTTTTTTTTGGTCTTGCTTTGCAGCACAGTTCATGATACGAAAGCCTGGACGTTTGCTTAACCACCCTAAGCCCTAATGTGAAGAACCGAAATGACAGATCCTCACTCATGAGCCCTAAGCTCCTGTCTGACTCTATACACCTGGATTAAAATGCCCAACCCTCAACCCTAAAACTTGAACCAGGTAAAAACCTAAACCCCAAACCCCAGACCCTAAACCCTCAACCCTTCAACCACGTTGAACAACTCGCAACCCCAAGCCCTATGTCCCGAAGTCCTACGCTACAGCCGAGGTTGGGAATTGCGGTGAACTGCTCCGCCCCACCACAGCTACAGCGAGAGTTGAGTCGTTGCTAGTCCTGAGGTTTGCCAGGTGGTGCCCGTACAGTAGGGTAGTGGGGCCTACATGAGCTATAGTCTAAATTCCTTAAAGATGGTTATATAGGGGAGCCGTAGAGGGGTTACTGTGTTGCTAAGAGCTTACATACTGGGTCTTTTCTGGGGGGATTAGGTTTTAGGGCTTATAGCGGTTGGCGTTTACGCGCTGGGGTTTCTCAAGTAAGGGGCCCTCATGGAGGTATAGAGGGGCTGCAAAGGGAAAATACGGGTCCCTCTTAAAGAGTATGTCCTGGGGGGGTGCAGGTGCTACATCTTCGCGAACCTCTTCCGATACCAGTCATCGCTCAATGCAAATACTTTGAGCGGGAACCTTCAATTCTGGAAAACGACTCTTAAAAGCTTTTGAAATGGACCAGTGAGGGGTAAGATGCTGAGGCGTTGTGGGTTCTTCGTTGCCAAGGGGGAGCCTCATAATGAGGGGGAAACGATGGTTTTGCCTGCGCGTAGTCTAGTGCTGTTTCTTTGGTCCACCGCCTCGTCGTCATCGTGGTTGACGACAAATCTTGTGTTTTTTTTTACTTTTTTGTTGTTGTTTTGGTGGTGGTGGCGGCGGCGGCGGCGGCGGCGGCGGTGGCGGTGGCGGTGGCGGTGGCGCTCCTGCTGCTCCTGCTGCTGCTGCTGCTGCTGCTGCTGGTGCTGGTGGTGCTGGTGGTGGTGCCGGCGGTGGTGAAATAATCCCTTATTAGTTCCTAATTTCAGATACTCCCAAATAAGTCTCTAATGTGAAATAGCTCCTAATACGGCCCTAATTTGAAATCGTCCCTAATAAGGCTCTAATTAGAAATAGTCCCCAATAAGGCCGCAATTTGGAATCTTCTCTACTAAGGCCCTAACTCGAAATAGTCCTTATAATAAGTCCCTGAGTCGAAAAAGTCCCTAATAAGGTCATAATTTGAAATAGTCCCTAATAAGGTCTTAATTTGAAATAATCCCCAATAAGGCCCTAATTTGCGATGTAACCCCTACTAACTTTGTACGATTCTAATAAGATTTAATTACCCCCCCCTAATGTTTGGGTCGTACGATAAATACCCACCCCACCCTAATATTACATCCGGGCGGGAGTATCTCCCTTGGGAGGGCAGCCGTTTGATATTAGGGGAAAGGATTGCAACCCAAATCAACGGATTTTGCATCCACTTGTAACTACCCTGAACCGTATAGATTCCTACAAATTCTAATCCCTTCTTAACCCTTAACATATGGCTATAACAACAGTCCAAGAGCCACCAAGTAGACTGAAGGTTGGCTGGAATGTTCTGGCATTGCATGGGGGCCGGTGATCGGCGAAGATTATTTTGAAAGCATCACGCTTCTGCAAGCAGTTACAGCTGCCTCGAGACTGGGCCAATTAGGGTTTAGGGTTCAGTGTAAGCCCTAAAACCCTAAACCCTAAACTTTAGGCGTCTATTTTCAAGTGCAGAAGGCTCGTGGAACAGAAGTTGAACTCTCAGGCTCTCCAGGCACCCACTACTTGAGTCCTTGGGATTTGGGGAATGGTACTTGCAATACAGGTTTCGGGAAGGTATTTGAGCTGCTGTCAATATTCGGCTTGCCAAGGGACCATGAGGGGTGGACAGAGGGGTCCTTCTGGTAGTTTAATATATAGCCATCCTTAATATCATAACCCCTAATAAGAACCCATGTCCATTCAGTATTTGGGAAATGTTGGCTGTTGCTCACATTTGACTTTTAGAACGGCGTCTTCGGGAAAAAAAAAAGAAGCTTGTGCTTCAAATGGGTGATATAGAAATTCTGGTATGCAAGGGTTATAACCCTAAACCCTGAACCCTAAACCCTACACCCTAAACCCTAAACCCTAACCCCTAAACCGCTGAGGTATGTAAGCAGACACCCTAAACCAACCTGACCCTAGCATCAGGATGCCTCGTGCTGGTAATATTTGGTTTTTGCTGTTTAGGGTAAGAGTTCCCCATATGCCTCTAACTCTAACCCAAATTGCCCCTTGCCCCCCCCCCCACCCACCCCAGGGGCCTTTTCCCCCCCCTCCCCTCCCCTTCCCGTCTCCTCCCCTTCCCTCCTCTCCCCTCCGCTCCCCGCCCCGCCAAAAAATCACACAGCCCAGACAAGCTAAGATCCAACCCCTTCTTATTGACTGCAGCTCTTAACTCTTCCCTGGACGCTGCGATTCAAGACCCCCTTGGCCGGATGTGATGGGATGCCTGACCGCAAGAAATACCATAGCCAGGAAGGAACTACGTCGGAGAGTCTGAGTAACCCAGACCGCCTAAAGGATCCCAAAAATGGAACTTTCCGCAATGTAATAATGGGTTCATACTGGGGGGGTTCCATTTTTTGGATCCTTTAGGGGGTCTGGGAATCCCTCAAAAAGGAGATCCTTCGTGGTGGTGGAGGCTGGTGCTAGCATTGGCTATTGGGCGCTGAAGGCTGCAAGAGCATACAGGCAGCGATTTCCAGACACCGACGCCCGAAGTGCATCAGTTTAGGTTCTAGGGTTTCGGGTTTTTTGGGTGGGGCTTTTGGTTTCATCATTTGCGGTGTGAGGATCCACGTTTTTTTGCCGTAGAATTTGCACTGAGACTATCGCATATGCCCTGATCCTCACCCCTAACAAAAGATTTCCTAGCCGCCGCTGGCCGCTGAATACAAAATATTCCGTCATAGCAGATTCGCGCTTGTGCGGCATTTGCGATATTTTTTTAACGTTAAGGAAGAGGGGGAGGCATTTAACATTCGGAGGGAGGTGATCATACACCTGACAGTTTACCCAGACCCCCTAAAGGATCCAAAAAATGGACCCCGCCCCCCAGTATGAACCCATGACTACATTGGGAAACCAGGGGATTATTAGGGGGTTCCAACTGTTGAATCCTTTAGGGGGTCTGGGTATGAGTTGCCCAAAATTTGGCAACCTGTCAGCACAACGGTACACTACTGGTGCTTCGTTGGAAGGGATGCCATGTTCGGATCCTTCAACCCTAACCCTATATCCCTCAACCTCAAACCCACAACCCTTAACACTGGACCCTAGAACCCTGAATCCCCAACCCCAAACCAAAAACTCTACAATCCCCCGACCCCAGAGCCCTAACCGTTAACCTCTAAACCAATAAGTCTAGAACCCTGAACCCCTAACCCTTAGCACTGGATCCTGATCGAAAGACCCTAAGACCTCGAATGCTGAACTGCTAAACCCTCAGCCGGCCTGCTTGGGGGCTTGCGTGCCTATGCAACTAGAGTTACGGATGTTAAAAAACTGCGAACTATGTCATGTCCCAAACAAAACCCTAAACCCTAAATCCTAAACCTAAACCCCTTGAGCTGAAATCAAGGACAGTGCTGCTTGCCATCTGGTGCTTATCGAGCCGACAGTTCCCATGACAGAGGCTCCACTCCAGGTTTATGGTTTAGGGTGATTAAGTACCCTAAAGCTCCGAGTATTTGTATTTTAGAGAACCTGTGCTTGAATTCCGCACAACGAAAGCTCTTCAGGTGATTTTAAGGCAACGGTGTACTTTTTTGGTTTTCATCTAGGGTTTAGGGTTTAGGGTTTAGGTCTAGCCTTCTGACTTCTGACGCCAACAAATGTTGTTTTCTCAAAGACTGCCCGTGCAGATGGGGTGGAGGTTGAACCTGCGAGGGATGGGTAGGGGTGGTTCCCCTACGCCCTAAATCTTTGCCGAGTCCACAGTGCACCATTACCGGACAGCTTTTAGGAAAGGGGTCGGGCTTAAGATTCAGGAATTTAGGAGGATGATAAGGCTTCCTTCAGTTTCCTCGTTTGAAGAAGCAGTTGCAAGTACCTTGGTTGTGAAGCCCAGGGATGGACTGAGGGCTTAGGAAACAGGGTATAGGGCCTATATATGCCTATATTACCCCTATAGAATCCCTATATTTCCCCCATTTCATCCCTATATTACCCCTAAGTCTAGGGCTTAGCTAAGGCTCTGAGTGAAAAGAATTCTGTGGAGTAGCCGCATACATCGACGTGCTAGGTGTTTCTGCAGAAGTGTCCTTTGTTTAGGCTTGGGGCCAGCATAGGACCCAGGGTCTAGGGCGGGTGTTCACAGTCCTTTTTAATGGAAAGGGGGTTCACATCTCGTTGATGGACGGAGGATGCCAGCCGTTTTAGTATGAAGCCTCAAAAACTAAAGACTTCTCTCTTCTCCCAAGCTCCGAACCCTAAGCCTAGGCCCCTACACCCCTTCCATCCGTTGCCCTAAGCCCAGAGGCGTTTTTAGACCTTAGCCAGGTGGCTCAGAATCTGCAGCGCAATGACATCTACAACTTGTGCAACTTGACTTGGGATTCCCGTTCCAGACCCCCCATACTTGGCCACAAAAAGAGAGCTGCCAATCACCTTCTAGTAGCCTCCGGGGTAGTACTCGTACTGGATTCGTTATTTTGGACCATCTTTAGAAAATTGTGTGGGTTCGGGGCTACAGCATACCTGAATGTTCATGCATAGTTTTAGGTGGGCACATCGTTTTTGTACGTGGGAATGCTAGAGACCTGAATATAGGGTAAGATTAGGATTGACGCAAGGAAGCCAAATCTAGTTACCAGAATATGACTGTAAAGTAAATAATATGGTTTCGTCATTATAGTAACGTAATTTAAGTTCCTTAACAGGCTTCCAGTCCCCAAAGGCTCTGAAATTGAAAAAATTAATCGCAATTGTTTCGTTCAATCGCAGCTGGGTTTTGTGCAAAAGTCAATCGTGAAATTGCTTTTTCAATCGAAGCACTGTCTTGCAAAATCAATCGCAGATGTACTTTTTTCAATCGCAGAAGTCACCCTTTTTTCAATCGCAAAATAGCCTGTGGTCTGTTAGATTGTTACTGGCTTTCATGCAAAATGTCTACAGACTTTTAACATCTCCCTCCCCCCCCATGCCTAAACCCTAAACCATAAGCCTGATAATATGTTTCCCTGATGTAGTCCCCTGATTAATAAGCCCCTTCCCTTTAATAAGGGCTATAATAGGGATCCTCATGTTAAGCCCCTTAAAAGGAGGGGGGTTACAAATCATGAGTTTACATTAAACCCTACCAAGCCCCAAGTAAGTTTGGGAGGGTTCAAGGGCACGCAAGGTTTTTATGGGTTCAACCTTCCTCCGCATAATCTGACCTTGGCGAACAATGAAAACTTACTTGTTCTTAATAGGGAATAAGGAAAAACTATGTTTCAAAGTCATCAACGTCCTCATAAAGAGGAGCCTTGAGGTGAGCCCCCCCGACCTTCAACCCTAAACCTGGTATATAGTGGTAGAACCCAAATGCCACCCTGGCGCAATGACACTCATCCTTTGTGGTCACAATGAAAGGTGGTGGGGGGTCCTTCAAGGTAGTACATTCAGAGACATATGACATATGACCTATATATATATGTATATATATATATGTAAAGTATGTATACGTATAGATATGTATATATATATATGTGTGTGTGTGGGAGTCTCTGAAAACAACCTGGAAACAAACCCCTCCCTTGGTAGTTTTCATTTGAAGGAATGTGCATACATGGAAAGTGGCTCTTTTGCTTACTGAAAGCCCGGAAGTAAGCTAAACCCATGAAGCCAACCACGAAGCCTAAACATATATATATATATACACACAGACACACGCTGGAAAAACCAACAACCCTCAAACCTCCAAGAATCCCAATGTCTAGAAGCCCAAAGCTTACATCGCACATCCTGGAACCCTAAACCCCCGAAACTTCTAAACCCAAAACCCTTAAACCTTAGAACTCTAAACATCCCTAAAGCCTCCTCAACTACCTACCGCTGGTTATATAGCACGGACAGAAGGAATGGATCATTACAGAAATCCTTATATAATCAAAAATGCATCTACTTACTGGAGATTAGTATGGAACAAGGGAAAATATTGTATAGGGATGCTACATAGGGATGATATGCCTTTATTCCCTAGTAACCCTCAGTAAGTCTATTTCAACTCCTTGATACCCGGCTACCAAAAGCCCTAAACCCTGAAACCCTAAACTCTAAACCCTATAAACCGCGAGAACAAGGCAATGTCACCTTGCAGCGAAGTTATGCCGATGCCAGGGTGCTGAATTGGCTTCTGCATCTGGGACTTATGGTTTAGGGATGATGGGTTTAGGGATTTAGGGTTTAGGGCTTGGGGTTTACCAGGCTTACCTGATTTAGGATTTAGGGATTAGATTTTCGGGGGATGGTTGATGCGATCATGGAAACGAACATGGAACCCCTAAACCCCGAACTTGAAATGGACACATCGGTTTATACAGGGGTTAGATGACTGACCTCTGGTTGGCAGTTTAGGGTTTAGGGTTTAGGGTTTAGGGGAGTGAGGGACTGGAAAAGAAAGTGCTGCTATTTCTAGGGCTTAGGGCTTTCGGGAATGGAGCAATGGAAGCTACACAATTATTGGGCGGTTAAGGGTTTAGGGTTTAGGGCGATCTAGCGATTCCTAGAAGGATCCATTCCTTCGTTCCTTGGCGTAGGGTTTCATTTTACTGGGTTGTTCAAGAAAATAAGTTAAGATAACGCAAGGTCAGCACGCGGGTTTAGGATTTGGATAGGATTTAGGGCCGGGTTTACGGTTTAGGATCACGTTGCCAAGTTGGAAAATCAAATGGAAAAACTTGAGAACGAACTCTGATCTGGGTCTATCTAGAGCTGTAAGAAAGGTTTAGGGTTCAGGGTTTTAGGGTTTAGGGTTTTAGGGTTAGGGTTTTAGGTTTAGGGTTTAGGGTACCATCAGGGGAATACACACTAAAAACAGGGTTTCCTCGTTATGGTAACTTGACTTACCTAAGTTCTTGACCCGTTTAGGGTTTACGGCATTGGAGTGTATGTAAGCTACGCATGCTCTTCTGGTTTTAGATTGAGTTCGGTTTAGGGCTTGGGCAGCCTAAACCCTAGGCCCAGAGCATTGGACCCAAGACCTAAACATCTCAACTGGAGGGCCTAATCCTCGAACCTGAACTAGAAACCCAAAGAATCCCAAAGACCAAAGCCCCAAACCTTAAGCAACCACCCCATGAACCGCTCAGGCTTTTTAATTTCCAGGACAGCAGTTGAAGTCTATACCCTAAACCCTTTGAACTCTAAACCCTAAACCCCTAAACCCTAAACCCTTACCTAGCCCTAAGCCCTGCAGTTTTTCACAGTCCACGTTTCAGGGTCACAGACTACGGGTAAAGGGTTTAGTGCTCAGGATTAAGGTGCAGGGCTCTGGATAGGCCCCTGAAATGGGTTTGGGGTATAGGGGTTTAGGATTTAGGGTTCCCTAATGGCTTTAATAAAGGACCCTATGTACTAATATTTTCAAAGGGCTTTAGGGGCCAAGGTGCAGGGCTCAGGTTAAAGTTTTACGGTTTAAGCTTAATGGTTTGACATAGCGGTGGATTGAGAACAGGCACCAGGAATGGCTCCCAAATTAAGCCATTAGTCCAAAATCAGTCGAAAGAAGCAATCAAACCCTAAACTCTGAACCCTAAACTTTTTTTAGGGTCTTGGAAGCCTAAGCCCCTAAGCTCAGCAACACTGAACTCAAAACCTTACTTCCCAGACCCGAAGACTAAGGACTGACTTAGACCTTAAAAAGGATCTAAGAACTAGAGCGCCAGGACTTACGAGGATCCCCCTAGACCCTAACTGTTTCCACCCAGAGGTCTGGCTAACCGCTGAAAGCCTAAACCTTTACCGTGGGTGCTCAGGCGTGCCTTTGGTACCATAGACCTCCTGCATGTCGACATCCAAGGAGCAGAGAAATTGAAGAATTCTTGAGGCTTGGTGCGTCGAGTTTACGGTTCAGGGGTAGAGTTTAGGGTTTGGGGTCTGGATTTGTGGCTTCGGATGCTTTAGAGCCTGTTTCACCGCTGCGAATATCATGTCCGTAGCAGCTCCAGACAGCTCTTAAACGAAGATCCTAGCCTACCCCGATTATGTGAGCTCCGGTGTGAAACCTCTAGCTTAATGCTCTCCGGCACATTATTCTGTGATGTACCTTCTCGTTTGACTCTACTCTTTAACCTTTACCATACTAAACCCTAAACCCTAAACCCTTAGCTTCTTGGGAAGTCCTGGAATGCTACTTACCCCTGGGCCTCCCCCAAATCCAAAGCCTTGAAGCCAATGTTGCTATATTGCTTGACAACCTCACCTCCCTATAACTGTTTAGAGGGACCCCTATAATCCGTATACTTATTAGATTCCTAGTAGAATTGTGGTATAGGATTCTGCGAATAGACCTCAAAATCATAGATGTAACTATTTAGGTCCCTACAGTTTTTTCTAGGGTCCTCAAGTGCACCTTGCTGTAAGAGATCCACCCAAATCCCAATCCCTAAACCCCTAGCCTCTTAATCCTAATGCGTAAACTCTCTGAATGCCATGACTAGGCCTACTTTGGGGGTTTAAGGTTTAGGGTTTAGGGTTTAGGATCCAGGTAGAAACCCTACAGTCTCGAAACCCTAATCCCTAGAAACCCTAGAGCTCCTATGTGTCCCAATGTAACTCTTTATAGCCCTGTATAACCCTGCATACCCCTACCAGTCCCTATATGACCCTACGTATCCCTAGATAACCCTACATTCCTATGTAACTACAGTTCCTAAGCCCCAAACCCCAAACCCTAAACCTTGAACCCTTCCTTCTCGCTCATGCAACGACCTAATGAACTCTTGTTTGTCAGGGCCCTATAGTTGGTGCAACGTCTTCTGGTCGCCCTTCCAGCCGGAGAATCGAATGCCTGGATGCCCTCCTAGATGGAGAAGCGAATGCTTGTGTTCAAGCTCTCTTGGACTGGTTGACGTGCTCGAGACAGGAAGGCAAAACACCCATGACAGGTGCCCTGCATGACCGTGTTCTCCGATTGCAGGCCATGCTGACGACATATGTACGCAGCCACTTTCCACTGGCGCCGTTGGATGCGGTGATCATGAAAGTCCGTACCTGAATTGGAACCTTGTGCCCTATGCTACAGATTGAGCGGAAATCTGTGAGGAGGCCAGTTCAGGTTCGACTGATAAGATGTCGTCGTCATCTACGCGCATGGCAAATGGCATGGATTGCAGAAACCACCATGCTGATTGGGAGCAGTGGGCTCTCTGTCAGGAAAAGGATGTGGGAAGACTGCGAAGCAGGGTGAACGTTCATGTGCAACTACGTTCCACCAATGGTAATTTCTCGGTGACAGGCACAATCGAAACAAAAACTGGTGCCTTGAGTTCGCGGCATGTGTCATTCCAAGTAGAGGAAGCAAACCTCCCTGGTCCAGAAACTGCCACGGCTGGAACGACCGACGCAGGGTTGGATGAAGCTGTCGTCGCACTGGAGTCAGACAATGGTTTGGCCACCATGTCAGTGGTGAATGTCGCTCCTTCTATGAGTGTACCGCCTGAGTTGCTCAACGCTGGTGAAGTGAAGGGTTCAGCTGCAGAGCCGGAGGCGGACGCTCGTGAGGGAAGTGTGACATTGGAAGGATCAAACAGCACCACGTCGCCATCGTGCACTGAGGGGGGTAGTGAGGGTTGATGTGCCGCGAAGCGGATTTGCCGGATCTGGCCTTGTCGTAAGACATTCCTATGCACCTACAGACGGAAAAAGGCCATTGAAAAAAATACCTTGAAACCTTAAACCCTAGAGTTCCTGAACCCTAAGTGCGAGGAGCCGAGGACGAGCTCCTGGATGGAACCCACCTCCTGTCGATGCTTGCTCGGTATTGTTGTTATTACTATTAGGGTTCAGGGTTTGGGATTTCGGGTTTAGGATTTACGGTTTAGGATTCAGGGTTTTGGGTTTAAGGTTTAGGGTATAGGGCTGTTATTGTTACTATTGTTATGGCTATTACTGTTGTTCCTGTTCTTGTTATCATTATCATCGTTAATACCGGTTGAAGTCTCCCTTGACCCCTTCAAGGGATCCAGAAGACAGGTTGAGGAAAAAGCGGGTTGAGGGTTTTGGGGCTTTAGTTTTAGGGTTTAGGATATAGGGCATAAGGCTTAAGATGTAATAAAGCGCCTATGGGGATATCTAGTTGTATAGGGTGTAAGGATTCCCTTTGGGGCTTGGGGATCTGGGTTAGGATTAAAGCTTCTGGATTTGGGGGTTTCCCTTGCCGCCAGAAGAAAAAAAAGGTTAGATGCTCGTTTGTGGGATGCAGGAACTCCTGCACCAATTAGGATCACCGGCAGAATGCAATTCCTAGAGGACAGGTGTTTTTTCGGGTGGTGCAAGATGTCTTCCATCCACAGTAGGATAAAATGGGAATTATATAGGGATGATAAAAGTCTGTTTAGGGGCTGAAGATGGTGGATTTGGAATTTAAGGTCCATTGAGGTGTCTCGGGGGTTTCGGCCGTAGGGTCTTGGGTGCAAGGGTTTGGGGTTTCAGGATTTTGGGCTTAGGGTTTAGGGTTTAGAATTTGCGGCCTAAGGTGTAGGGTTTGGCTAAGGATGTGGTGGAGTTTCGCATCTTTACTTCAGGGCTCAATGGAGCTTCGGGTTTTTGCGGTTTAGGGGGTTGGATGATTGGCATCTAGGCCAAGAGGATTTTGAGCTTCAGCCTAAACCGGAAATCCTAAAGTTTCCCGAAACTCTAAACCCCCATAAAGCCTACACCTTGGACCCTAAACCCAGGAATGTCAAGCAACTGCACATCGGCACGCACGGCCGTGAGATACACCGACAGTGCCGCGGCTCGCTGTTGCTTGCCTGTCCAGAAGAACCACGTGATTTAGGGTTTCAGGGTGTAGGGGTTAAGGGTTGATTATACAGGGGTCTATTATTAGGTATATTAAGGGAGGTATTAGGGTTGTGGACTTTTGCTCGCGGGATTCAGGGTTTCAGGTTGTAGGATGTTAGTGGGAATTAGGGTATTCGGGTATAGGATTTGGTGGTTCTGGGTTTACCGGTCTGGGAGTTTGGGCAATATACATCCCAATGCCAGCAAAAAGCCTCGTATTCTTGGGGTAAACACAAAGCCGCATATGAAGGAAGGGGCGCCTACATCCTATAACCCTAAACCCTACACCCTAAACCCTGCAGGCCTAAATGTCCTAATTCCTTTGTTCCAAAATCGAATTACAAGCCTAAATGCGCATCAGTCACTGGACATAAACCCTTAAAACCCTATAAACTTCATAAACCCTAGATCCTATAAATTGACATGAGAGGTTGTCGCATGGCTTCACGCTCGATGTTGACTACCCTCCCAGGACCTTTGTCAGGTCGCCGTATCTGGGCCACAGCGGTTTAGGGTTCAGGGTTTAGGAATTAGGGTTTAGGGCTACTCCCCCAACTCGTTGAAGCTTGATATCAGACATTCTGGGTGTTTGTCAGATTCTGGTCCCTTTGAGGCGCTCTAAGCATCAGAGGCCACTCAAAAACAACAGAGGACTCGATTTTGAAAGCCTAGCATGAAGTAGTGCCGCAGTATAATTGCCATTATGTCTGATGGTTACCAGTAGTGTGAGGGGTGGGCCCTTATTAGTCATGGCGGTGCAAGATCTTGCTTTTGTCTGCAGGCCTCGCTACTTCGAGACCACCAAGAGAAGTCAGATGTAATGTATTATACAGGGGTTATATTGGGATAATGGAAAAGAAATGGAAACTACTATAACGGAGAATCAAATGGAAAAGAAAATGGAAAATGAAATGGAAACTGGGATTATTATTAGGGGTACCTTGACGGGGAAGCACCTGAGACGTCATAGTGATCCAAAACAAGGGCTTAGCTTGAAAGCCTTGACAGGAAGCTTTGAACCCTTGGTGTGGGGAAGCCCATTGGAACCCCATGAATACAACGAGTTTCTCAAAGCTTGCGTGGGGGGTTTCTGAAGGTGGCCCTCGTGCAACTTCATAATCCCCCTTTCACCAGGATGGATCCCCAGTGCCCTAAACCATAAGCCCTACTGTTTTGAGAGACTCCCAGGTATGGTCCTCTGCTTCTAGATGATGGCATCCTCGCAGGGCGGCAGCCGCAAAGTGTCACAAGAGACGACATCACGTCTGGAACCCCAACGCAACTGACGCCCGCAGGCGAGAGTCAAAGTTGGCGGGCCACGAATCCTTTTCCACAGATAACCCGTGTATAGCCTTGATAGAAGCCCATATTGCTAGGTAGTCCCCACATTTCTGTAGAACCGTTTTTCAGTATGATTAACAGGGTTCAGGGTCGAGGGTTATAGGAAATATGAGGAAAATGTTGTACTACAGGTCCAGGGGGATTACAGATTTCTTCGCGAGAAGCTACCAGGATCACTCAAAAAGCTCGAAGACATAGGATCCTGCGCTACTTCCACCCTAACACCGCCTACCCGCAATGAAGGTCAAAGAAAGGTGTATATAAGGCCCATTAAGGCCTTGTTTGGGCTTTGGTGGGTGACAGTATGGGCTGCTGTGAGAACAGGAGTTTGAGAAGCGCCTACAGTCGGCAGTAGGGCTTAGTGACCATGATTCGGCACTTGCGGTCAAGGATTCCGGTTTGTAGGTTTGGGATTCAGCGACTGGTGGTCAGGATCTAAGCGTGAGGGTTTACTGCGCCGCGGCTGGCTCACGTTTACGTACCTGTTGAACGTAAAGAAATTCATGAGATGCCAAAGCCCTGAGCCAACAGAACTTAATTTTGTCAAGCACCACTCCAAGACATGGCGATGTTTCGCGGAAACCGGCGCCAACACCGAGGAGCTAAATGTTACGTAAGCCTTCTGTGCCCATAACGTTTACACCCTGGACCATGAATCTTAAGCGCAAAGCCCTACCGTATCCCTAAAACTTTAGGGACATTTTCAGGGGACCATTTTCAGGGGACCAGTTTCCGTCAGCATTGAGGAAACCCAGGCGATAAGCGAGGGACAAGGGATGCTTCAAAAAAAATGGAATCAGTTTATTAAACGTGCGGAATGGTCCCTCATACTGGTTACCTCACAAAAGTTGAAGTGCCCAGCAGATAGGCCCTAGACCATCAAGGATAAAACTGATAAAGTCTTAACTTCAGCCCCTTAAACCCTCAATCCCTAAACCCCTAAACCCCCTGTCTCTACTCCCCGAACATACCCGGAACAGGCCAGCGCGAAACCACGCGCCAGAAGGTCGAAAAAGAGGCGCAGGCTTCTGCCGATGCAAGGTGTTAGGTTTTAGGATTTGGGGTATAGGGTTCAGGCGGTTCAGGTCGTAAACTATAGCGAGTGTTCGTGTGCGGGGCTTCATACGGCTGATATAGAGGATATACAGGGTCTGGCGGCCTGGGGTCTTGGGCCTAGGGCTTGGATAATCTAAATGGAAGCGACAACGAACAATGCTGTGCATGCAAAAAACTGCATTATTACCAATTCATTCTATGTTGCTATAAACCCTCATGTCCCTGTAGAATACTATACTCCAAAGCCCAGTTCTGATCAAATACACCTTATATCAAACAGTTTAGGGTTTACTGCAGACTTGTATCACCCCCTAGGTTCCCCTTTGGATACCCGTAAATTCATCCTTAATAAGCTAATTCAAGGTGAATCCTGGGGGATAGCATAGAAGGGGGGGTGGTCGGGAAACCCACCTAAACCCTAAACCCTAAAGCCTAAACCCTAAACCCCTAAACCCTAAACCCTACATCCTACAGACAGAACCGCCGAGGTCATCGTCTTAGATTGCATCGCTTGCATTTTCTTCGTCGTGGGTCTCCGGGTCGTCGGGGAGCCAAGTCCGGGTCCCTAAACCCCGAACCTTAAGATGATGCTTCAGGGTGAATGTGGCCTTTGGCTAGCTGGGAATGAAGGAATGGAAAAGGAGATGGAAGCTATAACAATGGGTTATATAGGGACTACTAGAAGGGTTTGTTCCTTCTTTCCTAGGTAACCAACGGCCAGACATGTAGAAGCCTGAAGAAGTCGCATAAATGCCCTCCTTCCAAGTTTTGAGTTTGGGTATAGGGTTTGGGTTTGGGTATGGGTTCAGGGTTTAGGGTATGGGGTTTAGGGTTTTAGGGTTTAGGGTATGGGGTTTAGCGTTTAGGGTTCTAGGGTTTCAAGTGTAACGTCCCCACCCGCTTTACTAGTAACTATTCCCAGTGCTGTTTGGAATGCATGGGAATGCTTGATTAATGCCACCCCTGGATATTGTACACTTGTATAGTAGAGGGAACATCTGTTGTGTGCAATTAGGGGCAGTAATCTCCACATAGACCCTTATTAGGGTTTAGCGTTTAGGTTTGAGGCTCTGGCCCGACCTGTAACTACCCACGAACTTCCAAGCAAACCTTTACACCACGCACAAGCTTGACCGATCCCTAGATAGGCCGCCAGCGTGTTTCAGTGCTTCGGGTGTTTGGGAGTTCATGACTAGTTGTCAGCAAGGTTTGAAGTAGGATACGTCTGGTTGAACTCATAATCAGGGGCCGCAGAACCTGCCTATAACTCCCCTAAACCTCATTGCTATACCGTCCATATCCCTTAAGCATGGCGATTACATAACCCTTAGTCGAGTATGGCTACCCATAAGCCTCCAACAAGATCCCCGGCAAGCCACGAGCCGTCAAACTTGGTGATAGAGTCTAGTTTCGGGTGTAGGGTGTAGGGGATCCTTACGCTTGACAACTACTCCCCTCTCCCAAAGAATGCCCACCCGATGATGATAGATGTCCCGAATATAGAACCATTAAAAACCTGAGGGTGTAGGACATTAATGTTTGGAGGGTGCAGAGTTTTCGTAATTGGGGAAGATTGACTGGTATGCTTGAAAACAGGCATTGCTGTAGCAATCACATGGGATTTTCTCAAAATCATGGGCCCTAAGGGAGCCTAGAGATATACATATATATACATATATGTATGTGTCTAGATTTCAGGAGGGCTCCTATATAACCCCTATATAATATACAACCCCCTTATAACCCCTATGTACTCCCTATATACCTTCCGGTCATTTGGAGCCCTGGGATGCTTTTTTCACAGACCCCCTTAAAGGATCCCAAAAAATAGAACCCCCCAAAAATGACCTTCAAAGGGAGTTACAGGGGTTATATAGGCTTTATATAGGGTTATATAGGGATTTATAGGGTTTAGGAACCCATTACTACATTAGGGAAACTAGGGGATTATTACGGGGTTCCATTCTTGGGATCCTTTAGGGGTCTGGGTTTCCACAAGATACAATTTCTGTAGTTCGGTGATGACAGCGGTTGATAGGGATGGTAGGAAGATAGGTGAGCTTAGACAAATCTGGGAAAAACATTTCTGAGGCTTTGTATGAACGCGTCTACAGAAGCAACTATGAGAAACCCTTATGGGGAGCTCGATATGAGAAACCCTTATGGGGAGTTCTATAAGAAAAGCTGGCCCTTAAGGATCCTTGGGATGAGTATATGGGAACTGTATAAAAATCATGCAGTGCGCCGCCGATTTTGAAGAACTCATGTGAAATGCGTCACGAGTATCAGGCTTAGGCTCGAAACTTTTCTCAGCTATGGGGTGTTGTCTCTACGGCGGGCGTGCGCTTAGTCAACGAACGGTGCTTTGGCTTTCTAAGGCTTATACAGGGATGAAAAGGCGATTCAGGGTCAAAACGGTTTATAATTATGTTATATCCCTGCCCCTAATAGGTGGACCCCCCACCACTTAATAATGACTATGAGGGATAATAAGGAATATATGAGGGCCCTATTATATTCCAAACTATACCACTATTACAGGGCGGGGGCTATATAGGGGTTATATAGGGGTTGTAGGGGTTATATAGGGATAATGAAAAAGAAAATGGAACCTAGCCACAATTCCTTCAAATGCCCTCAAGCCAAAACCTTAAACCCTGATGGATCCTTCGAGCCGTATGGGAGGGGTTGCGTAAGGCGCGGAAAGTAAGCCCAGGTGACGCAATGCGCACGCAAACGATCAGATGCGGACTCGTCACTGCAGGGGTTTAGGGTTTAGTGTTCCGGGTATGGGTGTTAAGGGATTCGGATCTCACGGCAGGGTTTAGGGCAGTTTGGGGTTCAGGGCTTAAGGGGGGGTCGGGGAGATAACCCCTAACAATCTTAACGTGTACTGCAATAAATTTCCTATGTTCACTCTCCACTCCTCCTTAATCACCAGTTTAGGGTTTAGGCTTCAGATCTAGGCCCAGGGGTGTATTGGTGGGTTGTTCCTGGATGAATGAAGAATATACTAAATATGTCCCTCCCCAAAACTGTGTAAATACATATATATATATACACACATAATCATATACATAGATATATATATATATGTTCACCCCCTGCCCCCCCAAGATCCATATTAAAAGGTCTTGCATTACACATATATATATATATGTATAGGGAGAACTGATTCTAATCATCATACACGTTATAATCTCCTTGCCCACGAAACGTGAAGTTTCTTCATCCTCTGGGTTTTCTCGGTGTCTTAAGACGGAGCCGTCTACTTACTGGTTTAGGGGTTAGGGTTTAGGGGTTTAGGGGTTTGGGGTTTAGGGAAAAAGGGTATATAATATCTTGGGATTATATGGGGATTATATTCCCTTGTTCCCCACTAACCCCCAGTAAGTCTTCTTCAGGTGTATATGTGGCACGGACCCCGGTACGGAGAAATCTCAATGACTATGACCCTGAATGACTTCCACCCAAAGCCCTTGGCCGCATGATCTATATATACATATTTAATATGTGTATATATATAGATAGATCCCACAAGACTTTCTGAATTCCCATCGAATTCTAAGAAGGACGCCTGACAAAATCTCATTCTTTCTTTTTAAGCCACATGAAAAGATCCTGCTTTCGTCGTTCATGGGTCGTCAAAAGTACGGTTCTTAGTAGGCAATGCAGTTGGAACTTGAGCATGGGCACTTCTTTTACTTGGGGACTCTTTTGAGCGGCTGCGTGTGGACTCGGGCAGCTGCATTTTTTAAAGGGTTTATGTATAGTAAGTACTTTGCCAGCCAACTTGCTTCGGCCACATCATGCTCTTTCGAGGGCGTATGGTGTTCATCGTCGGACTCTTTTGACTTCTTAATTCTGCCGATTATCCCCCATATCCACGGTTATTAGCCCTAAACCTTCTTAAGATCTTACTAACTATATTGACTCAAGAGAGCCTCCAACCCTAGACCCTACATCCTTAGCCCTAAATATAAATCAATAGATCCGAACCCCCCAAAACCCTCAAACCTTGCAATCAGCTATGAAACTCCAAGTGTCACTGCGAGGACATGGACACCATACTGCAGCCAATGGTGTGAGCTGAGAGCACTTGAACAACAGCCCAGTTGATCTACTGTCATTTTTAGCCTGAATAGGGGACGCTTAACGTACGCGGTCCTCTTGTAGTTTAGCATAGCCCCTAATATATTCTTTAATAAGGAACCCATGTCCATTACATTTGTAGGAAATACTGACTGTAGCTCATATGAGCTCATTTGAATCAAGCTGCTTGAGCCCTGGGCCCTAACCTCTCTCGTAGACCCTAGGGTTTAGGGTTTAGGGCTTAGGGTCCCTCACCCAAAGTGATACCCATACAGACACAAGCGGATTGGTGGGTGATATTAGGAGTTAGAGTCAGAAGATATCAGCCCTAAACCCTAAACCCATGGACGCTCAAAATTACAGTCTTTCTTTGAGTAGCCTGAATAATAAGGCCGCATTCCGGAGCTCTGCCTCGAGGTTCACAAATAGTCATAAACTGTCTGAGGGTTTAGGGTTTAGCCCAAGTCCTAAACCCTAAGCCCAAAAGCCCTAAACCTTAAACC